TTTACTGAAGTAAAGTACAAGTACCTCAAAATTGTACTAAAAGTGTAAAGTGTGGCTGAACCTTATACAGCACTGCAACTGCTGCGTCTTTAAAACCCACTCTGTTCTTGGCTCTTTGCCCAGAAAGTTCATTTCCCATTTCCCATCCAGCCACATGGACTAAGCTCAGCCACGCAGAGAGAACAAGTATTTTTCACTCACGGAGCGGCAACTCCAGCAGCAGTCTGAGCACAGACTCCCCTAAGGACCCGTGTCACTGAACGAGGACTTTTACATCCACTGTGTTGTGAAGGACACAAACCTCCCGGCAGATCCGTCACAGCCTGTCAGTTCTCAGAGAAGCCAAGGTATGATTTAGACTCTAAAACTCAAAGTGTGACGGCCAGTCTGCCTGTCAGGTGCCCCATTGTTCATAATATTATGTGCTATGCGTACACACTATATGTCTGCTTTAGTACACTGTGTTTTCAGGTATTGATCTGCTGACTTTCGGATGTCAGATGACACACTGAATGTGCTGTGTCTGGTTTAAAAAATCCTGCTGCCATGTGGGGGCTATTGTCTTTTGCATGAATACAAAGCCTTCTTTTCATGAATCTATAATTCCCCTCACAAGTCGACCCAGCAGTTTGTGGTGGGTGTGATGTATGGAGCTGTTAACTACTTCTGCTCAATTAATCTTGTGAAGACTCACAGTGACAAGCAGGCTACTGAGGTTGTTGCCCTTGAAGAAGAATGAGTCCCAAAGTTTTGAATGGAAAGAACAAAACAGTTCAGACTGAAATGTTTGGTTTGTTCAACTTCTCGCAGCAGGCAGCAGTGACCAGGCTGTATAAACAGGATGCAAGTCTTCACACACACAATTAACACACTCCAGTCGGTGCTCTGGTTGAGTGAACACCACCACCACCACCAGTGCTGGTGATGTAATAATCAGAGTGAGATGTTTTCTGTAAACCGGCCGTCTTGTTGTTGTGGACAGCTCGCATGGAGGCTGCATTCTGTGAGCTGAGGTTTCTGGAGGATTTTCTGGGAAGATGAGGTCACTGGGAGACACACCCAGGAGGCTCGGGCTCCGAGCAGGGAAGGACCAGGCATGGAAGACGGTCAACAGCAGCTCTGACTGAGTCACTTGCCGGGGGGAAGCCGTAGTCTCATTGGAATTTCCATTCAGTTTGGAGCATAAGAATTCTTGTCTGGACGTGGTATTTATACTGAGACACAAGGCATTATATACATTGTTTCCCCCTCAAAAACAGCTTAGGACAGCTATAATAGGATTACAGAATGTGCTTTATTTTTACACAAATTACACTTTTTGTAAGAGGTTTCATTTTCCAAATTGTGTAATCTTATTTCCTGATATGAAAAGGACCATGTTAAAAGAGGGCGCTTTGTTAAGTAAAATACAAACATATTTTCTCTGGAATGCGGTTGGAATGAGGAACATTTCCTCTCAGCCAAAAGGATCAAGTTGGATGGCCTGTGAACTTTTGGAAGCATTTAAACCCCACTTCCTAACCTCTTCTCTCCTCACATGATCGTCCACATCCAACAAGTGCATTCTTTGTGCTCGAGCCTCTTTTGACTTCCCTCCAAGAATCACAGTTTTAAAATAGTGCAGTGTTTTCAGCCTGAGTGCTCTATTCTGATTTATGGAGGCTCAGCCACCGGTGTGGACGGACGTGGCTGGGAGGGCTGTCCGGACAGGAAGTGAAGTGTTGGGGAAGTTGAGTCAACACAGGACTGTTTCTCAGACTTGTGTCGCTTCTGGTCTCGTGCCTCTCAATGGAATCACAGGCACAGACTGAGACTGAGATAACACGAAGTTACAAGCGCAGGCAGACAGACATGCCCTGGCTGAAATTAAATGAAAGTGATGGGAGTCTGGCCGGGAAGGGCAGGTTTTCTGCTTCTGTCTGGATCAAAGAGAGAGGAAACAAGCGCAGCTGAAACAGAATTCACACACACATTATTGATTCTCTTTATAAAGAGTTGCCACAGTGGGATGGGTACAGTGTTGCATCATGAATGGCTTGAAAAGAGCACAAAGGCATCAAAGTCTTGTTCAAAACACACTGGGTCCTTACAATCAAAAACATGCTTGTGTCATCCTTCATTTGGAATATCATTCATCCATTTTTTTCATACTAGGCTATATATTTCACTAATCATCCACTGATCTGTGCACCACATTTACGCAATCTACTTGGCTGTGCTGAAATATTACAGTGGAGTGGACTATAAAGAAAGGACTCCCATGACTGTTCATGTACACTGTATATTACACAAGGACTTCTGCACACAGCAGGGTGGGTTTGACCCGCTCTGACGAACACATTGTGATTGGCGTTTCAAAGCAAAACAAGCTGTGGTCAGCTCTGAGCAACGCAATACACCAGACGAGCTCTGAAAACACGCAACTGCTGTTCTACTCTTTTAGAAGACATCACAACGTTTTCCCTCACTGAACTGTATTTTCGAGTGGTTTGCTTTGCAAAATTTCCAGTCTGCGATGCTGGCAGCCCAATACAGCCCAGCCCTTGGTCATGATGTAGAAGGCTGTAGAAATGAATGACATCCTGCCCCGTGTAAGGGAAACTGTGAATGACGATAAAGAAGGAGTTGCTCTCTTACTATTACTACAGAACGCAGACTCTGGTAGTGTTCACAGTCTACCAGTTGATGTCAGGCTTCGCTCATTGACAGATCAGGATTTACCCTGCATGTCTGGACAATGTTTTCTCCTCACCTTCCACCGGGTGGCAGAGCGGTGTGAGAGATTAGACCTGCAACACTGTTGTTCAAAACCTTTTCAGGTTAAACTGAACAAAGGAGGTAATTTTCCCTCTCAGATTGTTTCATCTTAAGAATTTTTCACAAAACATGGCTATGGCTAAAAGTAGACACTAACTGGATGAACTTAAGGACTACATTTGTGCTTCACAAAGCCCTTTAGTGCTAAGGTCCTAACTCTGAAAGTAGTTAGGTTTCTCTTAAAAGCATCTTTTGATAATTAAGATAATTACCACCATTTATTTTTTCAAATCCACCCCTTCTCTTAGCTTAGGAGTTCTCTCTGTTGCTCAGTAAAGCAGCTCTCAGCAGCTTTGTGAGTAGCTCATATGAGGAAACTCTTAAGTAATTGTTTTTTCTTTCTTTCTTTCTTATCTTCTGACCCCTTGGATTTATACCAGGAGTAATACATTTCTCTCAGAGACTCAGACTCCTCTTAACTATCAAGATTGGGAGAAAGGACGTACACTTTATCTAAATACCTGAAACCTTCTATTCACAATAGAAACATACCTGTTTAAAAATAGCACACAACATTGTGTTATTTTACAAGTCTGTGTGAGTGGGTATGCCATGCGATGTGTGGTATGAGAAAGAAAGATGACTTTTCCTTGCTCCTTGACCTTTGACCTGTGTACAGCTCAAAGCTGTGGAAAACAAGGTGTCACTATGAGAGTCAGACATGGTAATGGCAAGTTTTAGCGACAGTTAAAAATTCCAGTTGGTCATAACTTTCTTTACACCTGTGGCTTTTTTAATTCTGTTTGGTAAAACAGTGTTATCTTAAAATACCGACATGGTGGTTTCATAAATCACAAATACTGTGCGTGAAAGATGCCAAATTAGATACATTTGTTTGATTACGGTCTTGAACAATCACAAGGATTATTAACACTATTCTGTTTCAGCTCCAAACCTAGATTTAAAGAAGACGTGTTTCCGCTTGCCTGTGAGAGTACAACCCAAGGAAAAACAGCTGCTTCAGGAATAGTCACATTTTCTCATTGCGAGAGAAGTGAAAGTGTATTCTCTCTACCAGATTAAATATGCACCGGCACTACTTATGTTGCACAGTTTTCACAGCCTGTGTACAAGAGGATTCAGTGTAACAGTTGGGAAAATGCCTTTCAACGTGGCCAGCAAACCAAAAGAGATTCAGTTACTGGTAAATTATCAGTCACGCAACAGGCCATGAATAACTAAAATCAGCTGCCCTAAAGGACTTAGAATCACTTCACATGTTTTGCATAATAACTTTTGGGGAAAACACATTATGAAGCCTCCACTTGAAAAGAACAGTGGCCCAGTGTTCTTCTTAATGCTCCCACAGTGTCAAGAACTGGTCAAGCCAGATCTCTGAAAAGCTCGGAGTCACATCGTCACACAGGCATGAATTCCCACTATATCTCATGACTCAGATCTTTTTTCTTTTTATGGCTGAGACTTTCTACCCAATACAAGAGGACACAGGCTGATCCCTCCCAATTTTATTACACTACAGTATCAGCTGCTGAATGTTTACTTCCAGTACATGCAGTTACGTTGAGGGAGGAGACTTGAGGAGGGAGGAAGAGGAGGACCCACCTGTCAAAAAGAGAAGAAACCTGGTAGCACTGCTAGTCTCAAAGGAGTGCAGGAGGGAATGCCTGCTAGCTAACGCACTGGTGGCTGTCTATTGACTGCAGAGAGGGGCGATCAAAATGGGCGGCAACATAAGTCAGAAGAAGAGCAGCAGGCGAGGCAGCTCAAGGAGTCACACAAACAGTGCCATGTGAGTCAAATCACCTGTCTGATGCTGATGTTACATTATAGAAAATCTATTCTAACTTAAGTCTTAATTTGTTGACTTAAAATTGCTTACAGCTGAACCAGTGATGAATGAGGCGTTCTCTCCCACACCGCTAGTTCATATTTGTGAAGTCGTAGACAGTTATAATAATGCAGTAGCAGTGAGAATATAGAACACACATACTGCTCCACTATAACTATACGTGCATTCGTCTTTCCTTTTGCTGCGAGAGTGGCCTCTGTTCAAGCGTACACTTGCACACACATGCAAATATTCACACACCCTCAAAATTAACCAACAGATAAAGGCTGCATACAGACAGACTGTTAAATGTGTTTGCTCGCTGGCCTTCAGCAAACACACCAGTGACAATAAAATAGGGTCTGATCTCACGTAATTAGCAAAGAGAACCAAATGGTTGAGCATGTTCAAAATTTAATTTAGTGTAAAAAAAAAAGAAGAAGAACAAAGGGGGTGAGGGGGGTTAGGACAGTATTACACCGAGCAGTTGTGACTGGTTTATCATGATCAGTGTTGTCTAAACAGATCCAGAGTTGTCTCATATCACAGCATGATCTCATTGTGAGAAATATAGCTTCACTGTGTTAAAGCTTGTTTTGGGAGAAACAGTGGCAGCTCTGCCCTCTGTAGGTCAGACTACAGACACACTGGAACATGAACGCTGCTAGTCTTCAAGAGTTTTTTTCCCCACACAGATCACTTATGGACGTGGGAGGGATACATTCTACAACCACAGCTAGTGACTTTTACAAATTCTGTGAATGCCCAGCACTGGAAGCTTGACAGGTAGTGTTGGTCACTGTGACATAACTGTGGTTCAACAGTTGTATCAAGAGGAAACTCGGCTCAGAATTAATTCGTTGCTGAGCTCTTCAGCTATGTTTCCTCATGCTGAAGGCTGAGACAGAGTATAACAACACTACTTTACAGACAGCAGACCACACTTCCTCAGAAAGTAGACTACCTTTGCTCTCCACTCTCGCTTACTCCTAACTTTGGTCTGTATCAAAACCCGCTTGTGCGTTTGTCGTCTCAGACTCTTCCGCTTTGACCCAGGCTTTGGGTGACGTGTTCTTCTGTGTTTTAGGTGACAGCATGTCAGGCTGGCATGTATCAGCAAATCTCTCGCGTGCTTTCTCCCAGTTCTTCTGGGACTTCGATTTGGTTACAGAGACATTGTCTAGAGACATGGCGGCACCAGCCCCCAAACCCGACTGGGACTTTCTGATTTTCAGTTCAATCTGCGGAGAAAGGAATGAGACAGAAATATAATCGTTTGGTTGCTTCACAATACATTTTAGTCAAAACAGAATCTGCCATCAGGAAATCATCAGATTGTCTTACCGGGGCTTTCATTCCAGTTCCCTCTTTACCCAGTCCCTCTCCTCTCTTCCAGCCCATCTTTTCCAGCATTTTCCGTCCTTTATTGACTTCACTGATCTCCCTTTAAGAAGACAAGCAAGACATAATACGTCATTACCAAGTCATCCATTATTTTCCTTCTTTAGTAGACATAGTCAGTGACAATATACTAACTTATGAACAGAAGCGGGTGCATCATCTCGTTGGAAAACACCCTCGCTGCCCACCGTCTGTCGTCGACACTCTGCTCGGTCTGTGTATTTGGGGTTCCTCAGGGCTTTGGCCTCCTCATACTCAGTGCTCTGTTTACAGAAAAGCACAGAGGTAATTGTCTACATAAAGAGAAGACTTTAAAAAGAGGGTTTAAAAGGTAAAACAGCTGCTGCTGGTCCTGACAACACTCACCTGCAGGCCATATTTGGCCTTCATCTGCTTCAGCTCCTTTTGTCTCAGTGCTTCTTTATCCTCTTTGGTGAGAGCAGGGCCTTTGGGAAAACACAGAGTGAAGCCAAATCATCCACTGTACAATCATTTTCTTCTCATGTCTTCGAGCGTTATGAGGTCAACAACCACAACTGAGAGCCTTTGTTTGAGGAATGTTTTTTTTAAAAAGCATGTCAGGCTTTTTTCAAACATGTGTCAGTTCAGTTAAGGCTTAATACTTCACTGCGGTTCACCTGTATTTTCCTCTCTCTTGTACTTGCTGAGGTGAGCCAACACCTGACCGGGCTCACAGCCATCGCAGGTATCAGTCCCTGAGTGGATATGGAAGGAAAGCACGGTCTCTCCCATCTTCACCTCGTCACCGTGCATCAGTGCGTGTGGATCACACTTGGTTTTGGGCTGCAGGAGATTCAGTTATAATGTCATTGCCAAGTTAAAGTTTTACTGTTTTATTTAGAGGAAACAAACAGAGACACAAAATGGTGACCTGTAAGATCCTGTTGCCGTTGATGACGGTTCCATTTTGACTCCCCTGGTCCACCAGCATGTAGCTCTGCGTCTCCTGGTCAAAGTACACCTCTGCGTGGAACTAAAACAAAACACAGTTCCCAGTTAGAAACATCCCATTACCCTGCGTTACTCAGCTGAGTTATGTCGATCCCTGGAGGAAAATAAAGGTGGTGAGGGGTACCTTGCTGACTCCCATTTCTGGTATTCGGATCGCATGGTCCATATCTTTCTCTCTGCAACAGAAAGGCAGCAGGTTGTCTTCAAACCGTTTCCCTCTGCGGCAACCCATTTTAAAAGCTCGGAATGAAAGTTACAAACCTTTTACTGATATATAACTTGTGCTGCCACATGACAATAGAGAAAATAGCACACACCTGCCAACAGTGGCTGGACAGTCGGCTGTGATGATGAACAGAGTGCCCACCTGCAGCACTGGAGATCTGACCACTGTCACTCTTACACAGGGCGGCCAAATGTCCTTGACTGCAAGAAAAACAAACCCATTGCATTGTCACAGGAACACGACAGCCTCAGAAAGCAACAGTGTTAGAAACAAATCACCAAATTATGATCTAACTAGCTTCAAGTTACTACCAGACTGAACATATTTACCCACTAATTAATGTGATGTGTGCCCTGAACAATCTCTGAATTTGGTTTGTTTTTCCTCTCACCTTCCTGAGTCTGAGTCTCCATTTCTGACTCTGGGCTGTCCCTAGAGGGGGAGCTCGAAGATGATGAGAACGAGGGAGTGGACTCCCAATCTTCTCTCTCCGACTCTGTGATCTCACCCTCTTCCGGTTCACTGTTTCCCTCCGAATCATCACTTTGAGCTGAGCTCTTTTTCTGTTTTTGCTTTTTTGACTTTGATTTCTTCCTTTTCTTCCTCGCTCTACCCTTTTCATCACTGTGAGAGCCATTTTTCTGCTTCTTCCTCTTTAATGAAGACTTGTCACTCTCTTCCCGGCGTTTAGAACATTCTTTTCTACGTGGTGCCACATCTGGACTTCGAGACTTTCGCTTCAGTTTTCGTGATTCTGTCCTCTTGGTTGTTGGCCATTCAACCCAGTCAGTTTCTTCTTCTTCCAACTTTACCTCATCAAATATGAGTTCCTGCCATCAGACAGTCAACAGTGAGATTACCATCTCCAGTGATGTTCACTGACAGCGGGCAAGCTGGCTATGTAGATCCCATGTTCCAAGCCATGTGTGGCATTGTTGTAATACATAGTTTCAGTCTTCAAAGAGAACTCACTATTGACCTCCACCAAACTACAGGATTAACGGTCCTTACTCAAATATTACTTTGCACCCAAGTGACCAATCCTTGAGTCATCTGTGGTTCATGACACTGTACAGAGTAACTAATGAAATGAACTAATTTAAAACACAGTTACAAACAACTATTTCATATCCCACGATATGAATTGACTGAATGCTTTATGATACAAATTCCCCATCTTCCACCTGGCCTTTACTTTCCTAGTTTGACCATAACATTATTAACTGTGTTAAAATGTCAACACTTATTTTAGAGCTTAATATAGACGCAAAAACACTGTGTGAATCATCACATTCAAATATGTTTAATGTGATGCTTGTGTAAATAACAGAACCTGTCACCTTTATCGCAACTTTACAAGTGATTTATGACTATGCATTCCTCCTATTGTGATGGCAAAACTATTTAGGCCCTGAACTACTATTTTGAATTTCTTTGCATGTTGATATTAAAAGGTGTACCTCTGGGGGAAGCAGTGTTCCAGTAAGAAGAAATCTTCATTTTAGCCAATGAGTTAGTCACCTCTTGCACCTAGGTCAGAGGATAATCTTTTAGTCAACTAGCCTTAAATTTATACAAAAAGAGGAAAAAAGCAAGCATTTGAAGACTGAAACAAATAAAGTCATGGGGATTTGAAATATCACGTTTTTTTAAGGGGAACCACAAAGTCAAAAAGCCAGCTGTCAGTGACCAAGTATAAAATGTATCTATGTCATGCATCAATGAAAGATTCAGTTTTTCATACCTTATCGTCCTTGTGGGAGGTTTTCTTGGACCCTTTCTTAAGCTTTCTGCCTTTCTTTTCACCCCTGGTCTCGTCTTTACAAGGCTCTGCAGAAGTTTGTGCAGCAGGCACCTCAATCCTGGAATGAAACTGGTATCGTCCACTCTCCGCATCATAGTAGTAATAAATGCCCGTGTTGGCATCATAGTACAACTGACTGGCCTGAGAAGGAGAAAAACACGTATAAGGTCCGAGGACTGGCATAAAATGTCTGCCAGAAAAAAACAAAATCACTAAATTGCTGCTAAGTTAATTCAGCTAAAGACCGCCTAATTTTAGGGTGTTTGACGAACCGAGTCATAGTAGAAGCCTGTGCTGTGGTCATAGTACATCCCAGTAGTCTCATCAAAGACAAACCCTGTCTGTGTCATAGCCTCTTCAGCAGTGGCTCTCAGTATATCAGCTATGGATCCTGCATCACCCTCCTGAAAAAGACAATGCCATTTATTGGTCATTACGTAAACTCCAATTTATGCTGAAAAATAAATAAATATATTAATACAATTAGCCAAATAATACATTAATTGAACAATCAAGTCCTCTGAAATTTTTTTTTACATTGATTTATAATGTAAAAAAAAAAAACGCATGCTTCAATTGACTTTTAATAAAACAAACCTCTGCCGTGGCTGCAACACTTTCGGCTGCTGCTTCATTTGGTGTTGAAATCTCTGCTGTTGAAACCTCTGCTACCTCTGCTGCCTCACTGCCATCAGCTACATCCACTGCTGCTACTGTGTTCATGCCTTCCTGAGTGTCTGAAGCCTCTGTGTTCTGATTGTAGCCTCCATAGTAATAGTTGTAATAATCTGGAAAGAAAGATTTGTAACAGTTTACTCGCTTTCTGACTAACTGAAATGATAGTCTAATTAAATTAACGTACATACAAAATCAACCCACCAGTTTCTGTCCACACATATTCTTCTGTCTGAGTTTCACTGTCGACTCTGTCTTTATCTTTCTTCTTACGTTTATGAATCTCTGTGCTCAGCAGGTCAACCTAAAACAAAACATTTCAAATTAATTCACTTGATATTCTTGAAACACCCACTGTAATAATATGATAATAGGATTGTAACGACTCACAATTTCAGACTGATTTAATTCAGTGTTTTATAGCAGGTGTGAAAATAAAGACCAATCCCCTGAGGTCATACTGGTGATTTGGTGGTGATGTGCACTGACCTGTTTCCTCAGGTCTTCGTTGTAGCTCTCCGTGCTCCTGTGCAGTCTTTCGGACTGGTTCAGTTGTTTCTGTAACTTGGCCAGCTCGGCTCTGCACTCTGTTAGCTCCTGCTTCAACGAGTCTACTCTCAGACGGAGTTCAGCCTCCGTGTCCTTTTCTCCATATTCGTTCTCCATTTGTTCAACTGAAGACGTTAACAATCAACTTTGTAACTTAGTTATAAAGGAAGGCGGCTTCATGAATATATCAGCCATTGTTAACTGAAGCTAGCTCGCATAACATGTTTCTGGAGACATTACAACGTTAGCTACTATTTCAACCCGAGACACTAGAAAGCCCAGTAGGCACAGAAATACTAAAGTGACTATATACTGATCAACCCAGCACTACGTTACTGCCATGTTAACTAACCCCTGATCCCAACTGTGCCCACCTAACGTAACGTTATAACTTAACTTAGCGTTAGCTTTGTCTGTAAGGTGCACTTCTTACCGGTTTATTCGTTTTCGTCTGTTTAGCGGTGAATTTCGTGTCAGCACGGCACATGAACGGACCTGAAAGTTTAAAATAGACATTTTGTAACCACTCCGTATTTCCGATACAGTCGAGTACATGTTTTGATGTTAATTAGACAGTTACAGTTATAACCGTGGTAATATTTACTGTCCACCCTGTCCGCAACCGCCATTTACTACTAGCTTACTACGTCATAACGGAAGTTCTTCTTCTTCGGATTTGGCGGACTTCTTTTCCCTCAGTGAGTTGGACACTTTACTGCCACCTATCGACGAACTATTTTGTAGCGTAACAGTAGCATATCATCTAGTACATATATCTTTTATATTTTAGCTTTACCTTTCTTCAAATTAGATTATCTTAACTCCCATGCCCTTTCACAGTGTGTTTTTGTATGTTCTTGACGGCAACATATTTAACAACAGAGCGCGGTAAGTGTCAGAAAACAGCAGTGCTCCATCTGCTCTCACTTCACAATTGTCCACTACTTACCAACTTGATCACATGATCAATGCAAGCAGCCCAACCTCAAGCTCCACCTGACTCTGACAGTAAATAAGTGGGCAGTGGACAGACTCCACCCTTTCGAGTCTAGTGTGGAAACTCTGAGTCTGATTAATGCACGTTTGTCTCTGCTCTTCTATTGGAATTCAGGAGGAGTTTAGCTGCTGAATGGCCAAGTCAGACCCTAGAGAAGTTTCTGGAGGGGGGAGTAGAGTATTAGAAAACAATACACACATGATGCATTAGCATATTGAATGGCAAGGCTCACAACACCAAAAAACATCACACACACCATACAAGTTCTCTTGAAAAAGCACTGCTGCAAATGTGGGGGATATTAGCCATTTACAAGACATTTGTCGAGAGTTTGTAGGATCAAGGCCTGCCTATCCCTAGGCTACTGTATGTAGAGTCCACTTCTTTATATTTAGGCTACTATTGTAAAGTGCATTAAAGCCTTTTCCTGCAGGAAATGCCTGTTAGGCACACTGACATGCTGATTAGATTGATTTTAGTGCATATAGTGGTGATTTATGCTCCTCTGAAGCCCAAAATGATATGAGTTCTAATGTTGATCTTGAAGAGGAAAACTGAAATAACAAAGATCTACTATTTTAAACCCTTAGAATGTAGTTTTTTTTTTTATTGTTTCAGCTGGGAGGTCTTGCATGTTGCATATTCCTTAAATAATGACTTTAATTAGATTAATACACCGCAAATCTGGGTCCAGGTAGTGTTCCAGCTTAGAAAAAGAGTTTGTCAGTTATAAACTGAATATAGTGGAGGGGAATTATGCTTCAAAGGCTTTAATAATCTTATAACTATACCTCGTGGATTGTATGTCATCATAAAGGATTTATGTACAGTTGATCAGTATGCACTAGTGGATATTATGAATGAATTATGTATGCTCAGTTAAATGTGCAAATGAAAGGGCAGCTGAATACTATAAGGCATTGTTTAACTCATAAATTGTACATGTAATGTTGGTGAGTAGGAATATGTATGCAGGCGTGCCACATAATTGATGTCAGATACTTAGTATTTTAGGTTTGTGTAAAACAAAACAGCAATGGTGTCATTTCACCACTAGATGTCACTGTTACACACAGATTGACAGCTCAGAGTGAAACAGATGGAAATGAAGTGACATGTGAGTACTTTTTTGACCTGAGAAGGTACTTATCGGTGGCAGGATGTGGTTATAACTTCCAAAATCAAAGTAAAACGTTTTCTGTCAGTAGCCAGTATATTTATCTCATTTTGCAGTTACAGCTGTCCTTGTTGCTGTTTGAGGGCTTACGTTTTAAGTTTCTCTCACAGTTGTGAAAAGGCAAAAGTCAGGGCTACTGTATGCTGATTTAGGCTAATTGTTGCACGCATCATCCCTGCCAATGGCCCTTGATCCACTTGTCCTTCCTCTCCCGCACAAATATTCCTCTGGTCACGGTTTGATTCACTTCCTTCCTCTCTGTGTGTCTACACTTATTTCAGGCATCGGAGGAAGGGCTGTTATATAATGATATGCCTCCCCTATTGTCCTCTAAAAATGAAACACAGTCTCTATTTATGGCGAGAGTATGTTTAAAGTATTATACTCTGGACTCTGTAAATATATCATGTGCATTGTTTTTCTTTGTATTCCTTCACACACTTGAGCTGAAATTACAGAGAAGACAAATATTGTTACTGGATGTTAAGCCTGACATGGAGATTAAACATAAACGTGTCATTAGTCACATTTGTACCGATGCAGACAGAATATGAGTTGCTGTGTCAACCAAGAAAATACTTTTTTTTTTCCCCAAAAATGTAATTTGGGTTCCTCCCACTGTGTTTGAAATCTGAGCTCTTTTTAAGTTGTGTTTGGACTTTGGTGGAGCCTCAGTCTGCTTGGCAAGAGCTCTGGTGGCTGTGGTGGTAGAATGGGGTGGTCTTTTATCTGGAAACACACACAGCTGCCTCACGCTACATACTGATGTTTATTGATGCCATTTTTAGACCAGAAAAGCTGCGAGTAGGACTGGCTTGTTTTTAAAGGAGTGGAAAAGATGGTGGTATTGTTTTTAGTGTGTTTCTCTAAAAGAAACTGGCAACAAATGTATTGATAGTATGTTTTTGTGTGATGGTAATAAGAACCCTTTCTTATGTAACCTACTTACCCCTGGCTACAATGAGTCTCCACTGGCCTCTCATCACTGGTTCAAGGAGCCATTTAGAATAAATAGTGAATCCATGGAAACATAGTGTTTAATGCTGTAGTGGAAAGCCACTTATAAACATCAATATATTGTGAAAGATAACCTCCACAGATGCAGTAATCGCTCCACTTTCACACCTTCCCTTTAGCGTCTACACCTAATTATGATTAATTTAAATTAATCATAATTAGGTGTAGATTGAGGATTATCATAAACTGTGGTAAGACAATAATCTTTTATTCTAATAAGCCTGAGCTACTGAGGGTCTCCACTGTTGGTCAGTGACTTAAAAAACAAGAAATCCTGATGCTTCTGCAAGACTGACAAGAAAGAGACACTAACCCCAGAATAGTAAAGGCTCAAATTCATTCTTGCGCTCCAGTGATAATCTCTTTGAACTACTTACCAACTTGATCACATGATCAATGCAAGCAGCCCAACCTCAAGCTCCACCAGACTCTGACAGTAAATAAGTGGGCAGTGGACAGACTCCACCCTTTTGAGTCCAATGTGGAAACTCTGAGTCTGACTAATGCACGTTTGTCTCTGCTCTTCTATTGGAATTCGGGAGGAGTTTAGCTGCTGCATGGCCAAGTCAGACCCTGGAGAAGTTTCTGGAGGGGGGAGTAGAGTATTAGAAAACAATACACACAGGATGTATTAGCATATTGAATGACGAGGCTCACAACACAAAAAAACATCACATACACCATACAAGTGCTCTTGAAAAAGCACTGCTGCAAATGTGGGGGATATTAGCCATTTACAAGACATTTGTCGAGAGTTTGTAGGATCAAGGCCTGCCTA